TCAGCTTCAACTCTAGATATGCTCTGGCTTCCCTAACCCCATCCCTGCATGCTCAGTGTCTCTATATTCCATATTCCTCCCATGTCAGCTGTCCCTGCTTCCTTCTCTTCTATACTTCTTTTTTTTATGTTTGAGTTTTGCCAAGAGCTCCTTGCTCGTCCATGCAGGATTCCTGCTGCCATTACTTGACTTCCTGCATTTTGAGGTTGACCACTGAGCTTAGAGGAGGTATTCCTTGAAAAGCAACCAGCTTTCCAGGGCTGCTCTCCAGGACAGTGTCCCATGGCATTCTTCCAAGCAGATCCCTGAATTGGCCAAAGTCTACTTTCCTGAAGTCTAGGGTTGTCATCCTGCTTTTTGCTGGTTTCCCTCCACTCATGATTCTGAGGTCCACCATCTCAGGGTCACTGCAACCAAGGTTGCCCCCAACCTTCAAATCCTCAATCAGTTCTTCCTTGTTGGCAAGTATGAGGTCCCAGAGGTCCCACAGGCTGCTTCCCCTTATTGGTTCCTCCATCACCTGAATTGGAAATTTGTCATCAACGCACTACAGACACCTCCTGGATTGCTTGTGCCCTGCTGCACTGTCCTTCCAGAAGATACCAGGGTGGGTAAAGTCCCCCACAAGGACCAGGCTCTGAGAATGTGAGGCTTCTTCCAGGTGTGTGAAAAAGGTCTCATCTACTTCTTTCTGATCAGGTGGCCCGTAGCAGACACCCACCATAATGTTGCCTTCTAATCCTAATTCACAAACTCTCAACTGGCACGTTGTCCATCCCTAGGCAGAGCTCCATGCATTCCTGCTGGTTTCTCACATAAAGGGCAACTCCCCATTCTTACCTTGCTGGCTTTTCATTCTGAGAGAACCTATAGCCATCCATGGCAGCACTACAGATGTGTGAGCTATCCCACCATGTCCCTGTAATCCCTATGAGATCATAATTCTGCAACTGCATGCAAACCTCTAATTCCTCTTTTTTGTTTCCCATGCTGCACCCATTAGTGTACAGGCACATCAGAGAGGCACTCCGTCATGGTGATTTCCCAGAGAAGTGTGAGAGCTTTCTGTCTGCTAGGCACTTCCTTGTTTATATGGACACACTTTAGATGGTCCCCCTTCAGCTCTGTTTTGTTGATTTTGTTGATGATGTTTACAGACATACTTTGCCTACCAACCTGGTCAACTACTTCCTCACAGAATTTTTGGTCAACCTCTCCCTACCCTATATTTCTATTTTAAAACTCTCCTCACCAAGTTGGCCAGCCTCTTGGCCCCACTTAGTCAGGTGGACCCTTTCTCTTTCGAGCAGGCAACCATCAATCCTCAAAAGTGTCCCATGGTCATAAAAACCAAAACCCTGTTGCTGACACCAGCTCTGCAATCAGTTGTAGGACCCGTCCACTCCTCCTCATGTCCTTCACCTTCACTGTAAGTATCAAGAAGAAAAACCATCTAGGCCCCCATGCCCCTAACAACCACCCCTAGACCCATGTAGTCATGCTTTGTATGCTCCAGGTTATCCCTGGCAGTATGATTGGGGCCTATGTGGAAAAGCATCAAGGGGTAATAGTCTGAGGGCCAGACAAGCCTTGGCAGTCTTTCCACAATGTCCCAGACCTGAGCCCCTGGCAAGCAGCAAACTTCCCGAGATGACAGGTCAGGTCAGAAAATGGGAGCATCCTCCCCACAGCAGGGAGTTATCAACTACTATTCCTTACCGCTTCCTCCTGGTGCTTCTGTGTGGATCAGGTTTAGTTGGCTTGAGAGCTTCACTGGACAGAGCTCCCAGCCCCTTGTCAGCTATGAGGGCACTAAATCTGTTCTAGAAGTGTAAATATTGAGGTGGAGCAGACGCCTTCCTCCTGGTGCCAGAAGTCACAAGTTTCCAGCCTTTCCCATCCTGTAAGCCTTTACTTCCCATTCCAACAGGCACAGACTCTGCCCGCACCTCCTTCAGGAAAGCTGGGGGCTTGGCTCTTCAAGCTACAGTGTCTCAGAAAAGATCCATCTGATCTATTTCTGATGCTGCAAAGTCCGCTGACCTCCTCTTGCAACTCCTTAATTTGGTGATGCAGATCCTCAACAAGCACACATCTCCTGCAGGTTAGAACACCATCTCCTGCTGCCCCAGCCTGAGGAAGAGGCACCAGGCACTCCCTGCAGCTTGAGATATGCAGAGCTGCATCCTCCTTCTGGACTGCTGCCTGAGTCAAAGTTCTCATCTTAGAGGGTCCATTGCTCCAACAGCAGCTGGGGACCGTGCCCTGTGGCACATCACTACCATTGCTGAGAAGGTGTATCCTCTACTGAGCAAAGTTGCTGGCCTTCTGTAAGTTCTTCTGCACAAACTGCTGTGCCAACTGCTGCGTGCATTTGCTGTCTCTGTTAGCTGCACTCAATACTATTGATTGAAATATTACAATTTGCACTCATGAAAAAATATGAATATTATTTTACACACTTCAATGTGGTATAATTCTTCAGTGGGCACATCACAAAAGTTAAATAGTCCATGTATAGATTTGTGAGATGTTGGCCAATATTAGGTAAAATTTTTGTTTTATCACTGATTTCTGAAATTCACTGACTATATAAATTCTATAGATGTTCTGTCAATTTAGCTGTATTGTATACTCTAAATTATTTAGATTGATTTTTGTAGGATCAAACACTGATGTTCAGTCCAGAGAAATACTCAGTCAAATGCTGTCTAGTATTTTATCTAAACTTGAACACTAGGTTACAAAATACAAAAATGATCACCATACGGTATTGAGAGTATACAGATAAAAATCTGTCCACACTTAAAGATTATGATCAATTATTCCAGTATAAATTCTACAGGCCAAACCTATGTCAAGTGGTAAATTTTGTTATGCTTCAGAATCATCAGTCTTTAGATGTACAATAACTGTTTTCAAGGTATTTGTAAGATAATCCTTTTTGAGTTAATCCTTGATTTACTTACTCAGCACTGGAATAAAAATGTTTAAAAACATAGTTAATCTTTGTCTACATATTAACAAGCTTCTGAGCCTTTTTTGCCTCTGGAATAAAAAGTAGCTTATTTTAAAAACAGCTTTGAATTTATAAATACATCAGCTTGGTTCAGTTCAGATCTATACTGGACACTTCCTGAGTTTCAGTAGTTTGAAACAGATATTCAACCATTATTTCCAACTACCCTTAAAGATAAGTACATTTGACAGGTAGAAGACTAATATTTGCTTCTTGTAAATAAAATGGAAGGTATTGTCAGCATCTTTCCCATCTGCCTCTACTTTACTACTATCTGTATCCAACAGATAAAAGAAAGAAGATAATAATAATAATAATAGTAGTAGTAACAACAGCAACAACAACAACCACCACCACCACCTCATGAGGTTTAACAAGGCCAAGGGCAAGGTTCTGCACCTGCGTCAGGGCAAACCCTAATATCAATACAGACTGGGGGATGAAGGGATTGAGAGCCGCCCTGCAGAGAACTTGGGGATACTGGTGGATGAAAAATTGGACATGAGCCAGCAATGTGTGCTTGCAGCCCAGAAAGCCAATCATATCCTGGGCTGCATAAAAAGAATCATGGCCAGCAGGTCGAGGGAGGTAATTCTCCCCCTCTATTCCACTATCCTGAGACCCCATCTGGAGTACTGTATCCCAGATGGTCCAGAGGTGGGCCACAAAAATGATCAGAAAGCAGGAACACCTCTCCTACAAAAAAAGACTGAGAAAGTTGGGGTTGTTCAGCCTGGAGAAGAGAAGGCTCTGGGGAGACCTTATTGTGGCCTTTCAATACTTAAAGGAGGCTTATAAGAAGATGGAGAAAGACTTTATACTAGGGCCTGTAGTGACAGGACAAGGGGCAACAGTTTCAAACTGAAAGAAGGTAGATCTATACTGGATATAAGAAGAATTTTTTTACGATGAGGGTGGTGAAACACTGGCACAGGTTGCCCAGAGAGGTGGTGGATGCCCCATCCCTGGAAACATTCAAGGTCAGATCAGATGGGGCTCTGAGCAACCTGATCTAGTGAAAGATGTCCCTGCCCATGGCAGGGGTTTGGACTAGATGATCTTTAAAGGTCCCTTCCAACCCAAACCATTCTATGATTCTATTCTAAAGGAGATCTTCAAAAGGTAGATAAATTAATCTGCTAACAGCATAAAAATGTTAGAAAATCAAAGAAAGTTCAAGGTAATATAGGTGTCTTTTTTTTAAGATATCATGAACAGTAAAAATGTAGGTCAAATACAGATGCATATGGTGACTACAAATACTGGAGAGGAGACAACACAGAAATATTGCATAATTCATTTTCCCATATTTAAGCAGAAAAATAGAGGAGAAAGACGAGGCCTGTTTCAGGTCCAGCTTCCCTTGTCAAAGAGCTCTCAGGCTTGATTACCTCCACTTGGGTGACCAAGACCATCAAGGACCATAGCCACCAGTGGTGACTATGTGGCTTCAGCTTCATGGTACTGTATACTCACAGCTAATTTATAACACAGGTTTTAAAGAATACGTGCACTGAATTTGCAGTGTTAATGATTAATAATGATAAAAAAATAACCATTAGCAATGTGTGCTGTTAATGAGCATTAATGTAGTGCAGTTTTGTTTTACTGTTTAAAACTGGCCTCATTTATCAATCTTCCAAACACTACAATCAAAATCTCTAATTTTCTGATTGTATATGTATACTTATATGCAACAGTTTCACCTGAGCTCTTGCAAGGAAGGTTTGCAGGCCTAAAGGTATATTTAACTCTAGTCAGTAAGATATAATGGAAGGTGTCACATTGAAATATACTACTGTCCCACATACAGACTTCATAGCTAATTACATACACATAACATTGTACTTCCCACCTCAAATGCATTTAATTTCCTTTTTCACTTCTTATGTTTCGATATTCAAGATAATTCCTTAGACCTTACTTTTAATGTAGTTACTGGGAAAAAAAAGTTGTCTTTTCAAATTAGTTACTTTCCTACCTGATTAAGTTTCTTCCATAGGTTGAGAACAGGGGAAAGTTCAGTAGACCATATTTCTCTGTCAAATTTGCAGCCAGCAGTTACTGACCTGCTCAGGATCCGAAGCTGTGAAATGACCTGAGTGATGAGAATACAAATGCAAATCTTGAAGAAGAATAAACAAACTTCTTTTAGTACAAAAATGCGATACAATAGCAAATACTATCTGATTTATCTATGGACTATACTTTTCTGCATACTTAATTACTAATCATGATCTATTCAAAACACAAACAATAGCCATATCCAAATATACAACATACTTGAGCCTCATTCATATTAAGCCCAAAACAAACAAAAAAAATCCATATTTTTCTTATCACAGTCATTGTCTTTGTTCAACTATAATTTAAAAACTAATGAGGAGTATAATTAATTAAAAAGCCTCTTTTCCACAAAATCTGCAGACAAAACTCAAGCTCTGCCTTTAAGTAGGCTCCATCTGTAATTAAAAAAAACCCAAAGAATGTGTTACTAAATACATATAGTACCTATCAGGCATCAAAACTCCAAGACAATTATAATCAATTCATTCTGATCTCCCATGGATCTCTTACGTACTTAGATATTCATGCTACCTCAAATTATTTAAATGCATTGTTGTGGTTTAACCCCAGCGAACAACTAAGCACCACACAGCCGCTCGCTCACTCCCCCCACAATGGGATGGGGGAGAGAATCGGAAGGGTAAAAGGGAGAAAACTCGTGGGTTGAGATCAAGACAGTTTAATAGGGAAAGCAAAAGCCACGCACACGAGCAAAGCAAAACAAGGAATTCATTCCCTACTTCCCATCGGCAGGCAACGGTTACTTGGTAGACAAATGCCATCACTCCGAACATCCCCCCTTCCTTCTTCTTCCCCCAGCTTTATATGCTGAGCATGACGTCATTTGGTGTGGGATATCCCTTTGGTCAGTTGGGGCCAGCTGTCCCAGCTGTGTCCCCTCCCAACTTCTTGTGCACCCAAACTGTTGTCATCACAGATCCAAAACATAACTCCATACTAGCTACGATGAAGAAAATTAAATCTACCCCAGCCAAAACCAGCACATGCATATTTATTAGTTTAAAGAAAGAAAGCAAACAATTAAAAGAATAACTGCAAAACTTTCAGAAAGAAGGGGAGCTCCCAGTTCATCAGGTCCAACTGCCTTTCATTGTTAGCAACCCTGGTAACGCCACACATAAACTGATCAAATATATATACACATTTATAAAGAAAGAATACTGAAATTAACCTTCTTCAATGATATTGCAGTCTGTCCCTTAAACTGCATATAAACCCCCTGGTATTTGTACATATTTTAGCTAAATTTTAGTTATTTCTCACAGTGCGTTTTTTGCAAGACATGTTAGAGAACAACTTACTAATTCTCTTCTCTTTTGCCTGACTTCAAAGAATTAAACTTGATAATAAAAAATTTATTAATCGTTCAGAAGGACTGGACTATTTAATTGTGAGACAGAATGAGGCAAGAAGTCAAGTTGCTTCTGCTGGGTTTTGACTTATTTTCTATTCTTGAAAGATGTGCAATGATGTAGTGTTTTCTTTTGTTTTCCATTTTCTTTTGCTGAAGCAAACAGCAGCTTCTTATTTATCAGCTTTGATAGGGACTATGAAGCACTACAAGATCACAGTACACTGAACCATTATTTTAACTTTTATAATATTTACTATAATTTTATTCTTATGTTAAATGTCTTATAAGACATAAACCAAAAGACAAATGTATATAAAGTATATATAAAATTTATCTCTATAACATATAAACCTATATTTAGAAAAACAAGTTTAAAAATACTTTTAATTAAGCTAAAATAGTATTCTTTTTCATTAAAAGCTCACTTTTTAATATGTTAATTCTGAAAAAAAATCTTTTTTAGTTCTCTGAAAAATAACAATATAATCTGTTGTCCTAGAGAATTATGTATACTCTGTGATTCCAGATCTCAGAAATGATGAAAATAGGATTTTTATTTCTCTGTTATATTTAAGGAATTAAAGTGAAATTAATTCCACATCCTAAAAAACACTATTAGTTGATAAAAGTCATAGTCTATTATAATACAGTACTTTAGTCATGATCCTGCAACTTGGTTTGCTGAGAGGAACTACATGCATATCTAATGAATATCTGGAGGAAGCATCTTACTGTACTAAAACCTTACTTTTGTCTAGTCTGAAGTAAACTGCCAGAAAGGAAGGCAAGGAGAGGTTGCAGTCAAGGCAATGGAGTAGCTGGAGTAAACAGAGCTTTGCCTAGGAACAGGTTACGAGCCAGCTGAGAGCTTACAGGCAGAGACCAGAGGACAGACCAACATGGTTGGTGCTTTAGTAGGTGTGTGCTACAGACTCCTTGATTGAGAAAATACATGAAGTCTTCTTCTAACAGCTTGAAGGAGCCCAACAATCACAGGCCTTCATACCCATGGGAGACTTCAACCAACCCAGTATCTGCTGTGAGGGCAATATGACAGGGTTCAAGGAATACGTGAGGTTTCAGGAATTTGTTGAAGACAATTTCTTTATACAGGCAATCAATTAGCCAACCAGGGGAGATGCTCTATTGAATCTGTTGCTAATAAACAATGAAGAACTGGTAGAAGATGTGAAGGTCAAGCGCAGCCTTGGCTGCACCAACCATGAGATTGTGGAGTTTAAAATCCTGAGAGAAGAGAGCAAAGCAAGTAGTACAATTACAACCCTGGACCTCAGGAGAGCAGATTGTTGCTCAGTCAGGGATCTTCTTGGCAGGATCTAATGGGCAACTGCACTGGAGGGCAAAGGAGGCCAGGAGAGTTGGCTCATCTCAAGAACAAATTCCTCAAAGCACAAGAACAGTCTTTTCTGATAAGCATGACAAGCAAGCCAAAGAACAAGCATGGCAGAAGATCAATCTGGATGAAGAGAAAGCTCCTAGTGATCTGTCCTGGTTTCGGCTGGGATAGAGTTAATTTTCTTCCTAGTAGCTGGTACAGTGCTGTGTTTTGGATTTAGTACAAGAATAATGTTGATAACACACTGATGTTTTAGTTGTTGCTAAGTAGTGCTTACACTAGTCAAGGACTTTTCAGCTTCTCATGCCCTGCCAGCGAGAAGCTGGGAGGGGGC